GAGAGGAGAGAGAGGAGAGGAGAGGAGAGAGAGGAGAGGAGAGGAGAGGAGAGGAGAGGAGAGGAGAGGAGAGGAGAGGGGAGGAGAGGAGAGGAGAGGATAAAGAAGAGAAAGAGTGGGTCACCTGGCACAGGGAGCACGTGAAGGGCTTGTTGCCATGCACACGCAGGTGGTGGGTGTGGAGCGATGCCAGGGACTTGAGCGGGCGGAAGCGCGGGTGCTGCTCGTTGTGCTGGCAGCCTGGCTCAGGACAGGTGAAGGCCGCGCAGGAGGAGCTGAGGGGGTGGGGCGGAGAGGAAGAGGAGAGGTGGGCAAGGCGAGAGGATAAGACAAAGGAGGAAGCAAGCAGGTGACCACCGTCGGGAGGAGCTGAGGGGTTGGTTGCAGAAAGAGGGAGGGAGGGTGGGAGTGATGGAGGAATTGAGGGACGAAGAAATTGACTGAGGGAAGGAAGATGGATAGTGGGTCATGAAGAGGGCAGGGTCATTAAGTGACCTCTGGTAAAACCACGAGTAGGAGCACAGGTAGTTTTAATTTAAGATGCTATTTCTAAATTTAGAAAAGGCAGGAGGAACATAGCAACAACACCAGCAGGATTAGGGTTGAAACCTTGAAGCATAGAGTGTGTCGGGTTGGGCAGTGAAGCCAGATGAGGGCCCAGACCCATCTGACGCCTCCTGATTTACTCCCGTCCTGACAGCCCCCCTTACGGCCTCCTGATTTTCTTCTGCTTTGCCTACTCCCCTTAAATCCCAGTCAACTGTAGCCTGCCCTCGATAGGAGCTAATACTTTCCTGAATTTGCCCTTCTCCTGCCTTGGCTGCTGCTGCTGCTGCTGCTGCTGCTGCTGCTGCTGCTGCTGCTGCTGCTGCTGCTGCTGCTGCTGCTGCTGCTACTGCTACTGCTGCTGCTGTTGGTGCTGCTGTTGTTCCTGCTACTGTCTGTGGTTCTGCTGCTGCTGTTACTGCTAATGCTGGTGGTGGTGCTGCTGAAGCTGTTACTGCTGCTGGTGATTCTGCTGCTGATGCTGGTACTGGCGCTGCTGGTGCTGCTGACAGCACCTCTTCTGCTGTTGCTACACCTCCTCCCTGTAAATCTGCCCCTTTCTGTGCCATGCTCTCTTCCAGCGCTGCCTGTAGTTGTAGCAGTAGCCGCTTCAGCTTCTTGCGCCTGCGGGGAGTCACCTCATCGTCCCACTGCTCCCCATCCCACTGCTCCCCGCCGCGCTGCTCGCCATCACGCTGCTCCCCGCCGCACTCCTCCCCGCCACACTGCTCCACATCGCGCTGCTTGCGCTTCTGCCCGGTTTCCCTTGCCAAGCTTCCCAGATCAGCAGACTCGCCACTGATTCGAGCCTTGGCTCTCGAATGGCCTGTTCTTGAGAACCATGGCCGTGGTTGCGCCTCTTTAGCTCTTCGTGCTCCCCCTTGCAGTTTTTCCCTCTCCAGTAACCTATCCTGCTCCTCCCGTGCATCATCTTCCTCCTCCTCCTCTCTCTCCTCTGCCTCTTCCTCTTCCTCCTCCTCTTCCTCTTCCTCTTCATCTTCCTCCCCCTCTTCCTCTTCCTCCTCCTCTTGCTCTTCCTCGTCCTCCCCCTCTTCCTCTTCCTCCCCCTCTTCCTCTTCCTCTTCCTCTTCCTCTTCCTCTTCCTCTTCCTCTTCCTCTTCCTCTTCCTCTTCCTCTTCCTCTTCCTCTTCCCCTTCGCCGACCTCTTCTCCTTCGCCTCCCTCTTCACCTTTGCCTTCCTCTTCTCCTTCGCATTCCACTTCCTCTATATCCTTGATACCCTCCTCATCGTCATCATCCTCACCATCATCCCCCCCCTCATCCCCTCCCTCCTCTTCCTCCTCATTCTCTTTATCCATGCTTTCCCTTCCTCCCTCATTTTCCTCGCTCATCTTCTCCTCATTCTCACCTGCTTGTCTCCGAGCCATTGGACCCGAACCTTCCTTACTTGCTTCACTCATCACACCCTGGCTTGGCAAAGCTTGGCTCGGCCGACCCTGCCTTGGCAGAATCGGCAGAGCTTGCAGGTTCGGCAGCAGGGGGAGCAGGGGAAGGAGAGCACGGCGCTGTCGGTGGGCCGGCAGCAGGCTCGCAGCGGCTACAGCAAGGTTCTTGATCATGTCAACTATTCCCACTGCCACCGCATCTCGCTGCTGCTTCCTCTGCTTCTCCTGCGCCTGCTTCTCCTGATCCTGTTTGTCGTCCTCCTCCTTATCCTGCTCCTCGTCATCTTCCCCTTGCTCCTGCTCCTGTTCCTGCTCCTGTCCTTGCTGCTCCTGCTCTTGCTGCTGCTGCTGATGCTTCTGCTGCTGTTTCTGCTGCTGCTTCCCCTTCTGCTGCTTTGGCTGTTCCTCTTTCTCCTCCTTGGTTTCTGCCTCCTCCTGGTCTTCCTTATCCTCTTCTGCTTCCTCCTCCTCCTCCTCCTCCTCCTCCTCCTCCTCCTCCTCCTCCTCCTCCTCCTCCTCCTCCTCCTCCTCCGCCTCCGCCTCCACTTGTTCGTGCCGGTCCTTCTCCTTATTGATTCCCTCCTGCTGCTGCTGAATCAGGGCGGGAAGACAAGAGTGCCAAGAGACAGAGTGCTGAAACAAGATCGGCAAATGCAGAGTGGTGAAAACGGCAGCTGTATTCGATGATGGCAGCAACAGATGCTGAAAAAGGGTGATGAAAGCTGGGCATGGAAAATATGGACTTGAAAACAAGGTATTGAGAGCGAGGTAGACAGTCATGGTGAACCTGCTTACCACCTGACCTGCTGAATGCCAGAGCCTTAGCAACAGTGATCAGCAACAGTAGGGCTGGATGTCGGTAAAGTGTGTGCTGGATCATGTGGTGCAATGTCAACAATATATTTTTGTATTGTGGATCGGTAGCAGCTTGTGATCAGCAGCAGGACGAGTCATTGGTACAACTTTGAGCAAGAAAAAAAAGGGGGAATTGGGGCAAGGCCCGGCAAGGGGAAAACCCGAGTAGCCTAGTACCTGTGAAAGGATCCGAACGAGTGCTTGTAACGTGTATACTCTGGCCTGCAGAGCGGTAAGCGAGGAGAGAAGAGTTGAAAGCTGGCTTGGGAGGGCTCCATGCGTGCATGTGGGGGAGGTGGTGATTGGCACGTTGCTTGGTGTCCTGGTGTGAGTAGCAAAAGCAGGAGCAGCAGCTGTAGCAGCAGCAGCTGTAGCAGCAGCAGCTGTAGCAGCAGTAGCTGTAGCAGCAACAGTAGCAGTAGCAGCTATGGCAGCAGCAGTAGCAGCAGCAGCTGAAGGAGTAGCAGTAGCAGTAGCAGCTGTAGCAGTAGCAGTAGCAGTAGCAGTAGCAGCTGTAGCAGCAGCAGTAGCAGTAGCAGTAGCAGCTGTGGCAGCAGCAGTAGCGGTAGCAGCTGTGGCAGCAGCAGTAGTGGTATCAGCTGTGGCAGCAGCAGTAGCAGTAGTGGCAGCTGCTGACGCAGCAGCAGCGACAGTAGCAGCAGCACCAGTGTTGTCCTTCCTGCCTAAATATGCACCGTTTGTGCCAGACTGGGGCCCTTGCCCTTCCTTCCCTCCCTCTGCCACTCTAGCATGGGATGCTGCTGTAGCAACTGTCGCTTCAGTAGCAGCAGCGCGTGGCGGGCTGGCTGTAGCAGGGGATACAAGGGATCCTGCTACCGCAACCCCTTGACTGGCGCCACCTCCTGCAGCATCAGCACGGACTGCAGACCTGGCTGCTGCAGCTTGTGCAGCCTCGGGAAAGGGTGATTCGGAACCCGAACCAGCCTGGGTTCGAAGGAGGTCTTCGATGATCCTGACGGCTTCAGATGAATTCGGAGGCGCCTCAGAAGCCGTGGCAGGTGGTAGATCTTTTCTTCCAGTAGAAACGTTACCCAAGTGACCAGCATTCACTTGGCGATCGGCACCTCGTCGATTGGTGCCGTCATCATCATCATTGTCGTCGATACCATCATCATCCTCGTTATCATTACGCTTTTCTCCTAATGGCACTGCATGATGACTCATCATCTGGATGGGATCCTGAAGACCTGCAGCACCTGGCCACCAGGGTTGGGTAGTCGGCGACGGCTGGAGCTGCAGCGGCATCGTGTCACCACACTGCGGCAGCCTGCCGTCTACCAGTGAGGCACGGAAGGCCTGCCGTTGAACTGAACGCCCCGGAAGGTCACTGGGCGAGGGCATTTGGGAACCATGATGGGGTGGTGGCTGCTCTCGCATTGTGCCACCACACGGCAGCAGCCTGCCGTCCGCTACTGAGGCCCGAAAGGCCTGCCGTTGAACACTGGGACAGGGCCCCTGAGAATCAAATTTATGATGGTGTGGTGGCCAATCTGGCAGCCCGGGAGGAGGGAGTTCCTGCTGGGGTCGCCGTTGCTGGCTGTTCTACCAACAGATATGTTATCACCCATCCCTACGTCCTTACTAGGCAACACACTAGCCAAAACTAATCATGTAGTACTGTAGCCCCCTCTGCATTTCTTCCACTAGTCGACTAGGAAGATCTGTCAGATCTGTCAAACGCAGGTCCAACCGTTGGTGGGTTGATGAAGTACCTCTGAATTGGTCCTGGGATAAAGTATACCATCCACCTGGCTTCACAGCTCTGCGTCCAGCCTGAAGCTTGATTCTAAGTGACTTCCCGAGAAGTCACTTCAGCCGTTCTCCTGTAGTAATGTTTGGGACACTGGGAGGGTGAAACCACGCCTGATGGGAACCAGACAATGGAAGGAAGAACAACCGAACGGAACGGAACCGAGCTCCACTCTGAATGAGAGGTATAGTTTTCGAACTCGTGTGGGTGGTTTGTGACACCAGCGGGGAATGGGTCCAGTCCAGCTGTGCAGTTGAAGACAATGAAGGAAGAGCCTTTGTGTAGTACAGATCTGTAATTAGGGGTGTCTGAACTGAATCCCACCTGCAGTCACACCAAGTGCTTACTGTGCCGTGCATGGTGTGGCAGGGCTTTTGAGGGAGAAAGTGGCCTGTTCTGCCACTCTAAACTATATCCGCGCTAAAGGCCAATGAGGATTTTGATCTGACGATACCGCCGAGTATACGACACAATTTGAAGGCCAAATGTTTGATAAATTTGAACGTGACCAATCCCAAAGCGCCGACCATTTTGGGAGCCAGCTTGCCATTTCTGGTCGGCGTGGGAGCCCCACACCAGACCGATTGTTGGGAGGTTCGGTATGGATGGCTCGGACATCGTCAAGAAAAATGTAACTTCATAACTGCACGTGGCTGCCTTCGATTTAACACTGAGGTTCGCCTGAACGTCACGAGACTCGCATTTTGCTCCAGAGCTGAACAGTGCACTTTTGGCAACAAGTGGCACGACAATGTCGTGTGGTGGCTACCATAATTTCAGTGCTTACCACGAAATATTGGGGTTGTTTAGGGGCAGGAATAACATCTGTGGGAGCGAGTGGGCGGAGACATAAAGAGGACTCTGCACTAAATTCGACTTTTCCACTGATATGCCGCCGTCTTGAACACCCGTGACCCATGTGCAATCTCCCGAACGAACCAGAGGGAGGTGGGATTTATCCGTGTATAGCCCAGAAAACTTACAGAATAGTCATGGGCTGCATTTCACATCACACGCTTGCGGGATCGCGCTTTGGTGCTGGTCGTGTGAAAGTGTCGGCGACGCAAGAAGCGGGAGAACAAAAGCGATGGTTGCTTTGCGTTGCGAAGTACGTCTGCGAAGAATGTACGATATGCGATATAGGGAGTTCGATAGCGAACGTATACCAGAACCTTCAAGTACGGTATTACCTGTATAAAGGCATGCTGCTTTTGGCACAGAATGGAAGGTTTACATTTTTTCTTCAGGTTTTAACTGCGGTTCCAGGTCGACTCTGTAGTCGACTACCAAGAATATTGAGGTTCGAACCTCTTGTCAAACATTTTGTTGCGATCAGAAGTTGATCGTAGCAGGATCACCTCAGGAAGGTTCGCACACTTCTAATCTAGCGGTGGTGGGCCCTTGACCTCAATAGCAGAGTGAATGTAAATGCTTGAGATGATAAAAACATGCAGTACAAGGGATATAAATAAGAGTACAGGGGAATACGAAACGACCTAGCTAGCCATGTACTCTAAGGGGTACATTCCCTTATTACAGCGAAATCCAACCGTGCGACTCCGGGTGGTTACGGAACTGTTCGGGCAGAATCCTCGCCACTGCTGCTGCCTGATGCTGTCTGCCCGACGGTCCAGATGCTCCTCGTAACCGTCTGTCCCTTCGCATTACTTCCGCCTTTCCGTCTTCACTTCTCGATACTGCGTGCTTCGGCTTTGCTACGGTGAGGAGTGATCAATAGTGTTTTCACTAACCACTATTCGTAACACCCCCCTTCACTCCTGGCCGTAGCGAGCATTGACCCGCTTGACTACCCCACTGAGTTCGGAGCAGTGCTGGTACTGCTGACGCGGCAGTTTCTTCGTGAGGAAGTCTGCTGCCATGTCACCCGTTGGGCAGTATGTCAGGTCAACCTTGCCCTTGTCAACTTCGTCTTTGACGAAGAAGTACCGCAGTGCGATGTGCTTGGTGCGGTTGACGAAGCCAGGTTTGTTCGCGATCCTGATCGCGCTCTGGTTGTCGCAGTGCAGGCGAAAGTTTGTTGAGGTCGGAATTTTCGCTTCCTGCAGCAGCTCCTGAAGGTAGAGACCTTCGCGAACAGCTGCTGTTGCTGCGATGAATTCAGCTTCCGCCGATGACAGGGCAACCAACTCCTGCTTCTGAGAGTTCCAGGAGATGGGGCCGCTGGGCTCGAGGCGGAAGAGGAACCCTGTCCTGGACCGTCGATTGTCAGGATCAGCGGCGTGATCAGCATCCACGTAGCCGACGAGACTGAAGGATGCGGTTGGGATGGTGGAGTAGCTGAGCCCGACATTGGGCGTGGAGATGAAGAATTGAAGGGCTCGCTGAAGATCTGAGAGGTTCTCAGCCGTTGGTTTGCGTGAGTACTGAGCCAACTGGCTTGCGATGTAGGAGAGGTCGGGCCTGCAGGTGACAGATGCAAAGAGCAGGCACCCCAACTGCTGCTGGTAAGTGTGAAGCCCAGCAGGGGACAGGGCTTTGTTGTCAGGCTTGTGGTTGGGTCCTGGAGTGCGGTAAGGGGTGGAGAGTGGTGCAGGCGCAATGTTGAAACGCTTGCTAAGCTCCTCCGCATACTTCGCTGCTGAGAGATGAATGGCTTCCGGCGCGTAAGTTATGTTGAGTCCGAGGAACTGCTTCACATCGTGGTTGCAGGTGATGTCGACGCGTCCTGCGAGACTCTTCTCGAATTGCTCTAGCAGTTCGTTGCTTGAGCCTGTGTAAAGGAGGTCGTCGACGTAGACCGTGAGTAGGATGTATTCGCCGCGGAAATCGCGGCGATACATCCCAGGATCGTGAGGCAGTTGCTTGAACCCGATTTCAAGCAGTATGTTGTGCAGGTACTGCTGCCAGAGCCTTGGTGCCTGTTTGATCCCGTAGAGGGACTTGCGCAGCTGACAAACGCGTGGATCCCCGTCGCCGTATGTGTGTGGCTGCTCCACGTAGATCACGGCGTCCACTAATGCGTACAGGAACGCATTCTTCACATCGATCTGCCGAAGTGGTAGGTGGCGTGCGGCTGCGATGGCGAGCAGAATTCTGACGGACGTGTGACGACTGACCGGCGCAAATGTCTGGTCAAAATCAATCCCGCACCTCTGATCGTAGCCGCGCACCACCCAGCGCGCCTTGAATCGCTCAATCGTTCCGTCAGCCCCTGTCTTCACGCGGAAGACCCATTTGCCGGAGAGGATCCTTCTGCCCTTCACTGCTGCACGGTCGACGAGCACCCAAGTGTCGCGTGACTCAAGCGCCTGAATCTCCGCATCCATTGCTTCGCGCCACTCCTTGCTGTGTGGGCCTGTGAGAGCTTGTCGTGGGTTCTTAGGCTCGATGATGCGCGGAGCAGTGGAGACGGCAGCGTGCAGTCCCAGGAGTTGAAGGCCAGTGATGGTGCTGTCATGGCGATGTTGGGTGACGACTTCCTGCACGTCGTCATCGTCGCTTTCTGGTTCAGGCGGTGCTGGTGGTGCTGTGTCTTCGCCGCTTCCGCTTCCTCCTGCTGCGCCTCCTCCCGCTGTGCCTCCTGTTGCGCCCGCTCCTCCTTCTCCTGAATCATCGTCGTCGTCGCGGCGATCGCCCCTTGTGAACTCCCCTCTGGGATCCTGCTCCAGAATTGCCGCTGCAGCTTCGTCCTCAGGTGAAGCGTAGCTGTGGCCCTCGTTGGCGTAGACGCGGTTCGCGTTCGTCTGCTCGTCGTCGCGGAATTGTTGCAGAAACAGCCGCTCGTAGAAGATGACGTCGCGCGCGTTCTTGATTTTCTGGCTCAGGAGATCCAGAATGATCCATGCCTTGTGTTCGTGGCTGATGCCGAGGTGGATTCCCCAGCGCGCGCGGCTCTTGAACTTCCCGATGGTTGATGTCGGCGGTCGGTATTGAACCATGCACCCCCAGACGCGGAGCATGGAGGTGTCCCCCTTTCTTCCCGTCCATTTCACATGCGGCGAGGAGTTGCCGGTGATTGCGGTGGTTGACAGCAGGTTGTGCACCCGCACGGCGTGGTGCATCGCGTAGGTCCAGTAGATCGGCGGGAGCTTCGCCTGCCGCATTAGCGCCCGTACCTTCGTCATGAGGGTGCGGTTCGTGCGCTCTGCTACGCCCTGCTGCTGGTGCGCGTAGGGGAGAGAGATGTGATGCTCGATCCCCTTTTGCGCGAGGAAATCCTGCAGCTCCTTGCTTCTGAACTCCGCCGCACCATCGGACTGCCAGATCTTTAATTTCTCCCCAGATTGCCGTTGCGCGTGCACCAGCCACAGGCGGAATGCTTCGTAGGCTCTGCTGCGCGCTTCCACGTTTACGACCCACACGTGGCGTGTTCCGGCGTCGACGAAAGTGAGTGTGTAGAGCTCGTCGTTGATGCCGCAGTGACCTACGTTGAGGAAATCACTGTAAACTTTCTCCATCTTGGCGTAGCGATTGGTTCCTGGGTCGAGTAGGGGGAAGGGCTGGTGACTCAGCGCGGCTTCGGGGCAGATAGTGCAGCTGCGTGGGTGAGTTCCTCCTCTCACTTCGGAGCCGTCAGGACGCAGCAGCGCGCCAGGTGCGAAGACGCCGGCCTCGATGCAGTTCTTCAGAGTCGTGCGCGAAGGGTGACCTAGGCGCTGATGCCAGATGGCGTCGTCGGCGCGGAATCCGGAGGTGCGCATGTAGCGCGCGAGTGCAGCTGCGGGGTCTTCGTCAGGTACCGGTGCAGGTGTGGGAGCTGCTTCCTCGTTCTCTTCTTCTTCCTCGTTCGCCGTCGTTAACATGAGGGCGAGGAATTCTCTGTCGCGGATGATGGAGTAAGGGATATTGGTTCCGGGGATCGTGCCAGGGATGTAAGTCGGTTCGCGCGGTTCAGGTGCAGGTCCGTAGACGGTGCGACGCGGAGTGGATGGCTCGTTGCCCCAGTCGATGGTATCCCAGGGGTCACTGCCTGAGGGGATGTCTGGTGGCGGAGGTCCTAATGCAGGGCGGCGCGGAGGGCGTCCGAGAGGGACAATAGGAGGTTCAACCTCAACTTGCGAAGGTTCTGCTTCCTCTCCCCCCCTTTGTTCCTCGCGGAAGGCTCCCCAGCCGCTCGTCTCACCGCCTTGTGCGGCGCCCCATCCGCCGATGTTTTCGCCTGCTGCTGCGCCCCATCCCCCGGTTGCGTCGCCCCAGCCGCTTGTTGCAGCACCCCAACCGCTTGTGTCGCTTGTTCCCCATCCGCTGGCGCTCCCCCACCCCCCTTCATTGGAGGCGCTTTCCTCGTCCTGCTCCCAGGCGAGCGTTCCGCGTGCCTCGGCGAGGCTCTTCTGCCGAAGCTCTTCGGCCTCGCGTTGCGCCAATGCCTCCTCTTCCGTAGGTGAGAGTCGTTTCTTCGAATCGCGCCGGTGAGCGTATATCTCTGCCGCCTTCTTCTCGGTGTAGGGCCGAGGGTTCCCATGTGCGTCGAAGGTACCGACGCCGACGCCGCGGAGCATTCCTTGGAGATGCTGGGATGCGGGTCCGGGGAGAGGGTGTTCCGGTGTGCCGAATACGACCCGTGTGGCTGTCTCTAGCTCGAGTTGGGAGAGGCCCTCCTCAGGCGGTGCGTCGCGCTCTGCTTCGCGAATGGCGGCAAGGCCGCGGCCGGCGATCGCGCTCGTCGAGGTCGTCGGTGTGTGGCAGTCTCTGCAGACGCCGTCGAGATCGGGGTCGTGCAGCGCCAGCTCGCGAGGGTGTGGGTGGTGTGGCACCCAGGGGCGCCCATCAGGGTGCTTCCAGTCGCGGCGAAGGATGTGCTCGAAGCGCAGGGGGACGAGGTCAATCAGCTCCTGCGAATCGCCGCTGCAGTCGGGAATGTCGAAGTCGAGAACGTATACGCCGTTCTCGGCGTGCGCCCGTCCGATCTGCTTGCGCGTCTTGTTCGGCATCGTGAAGTGGAGCAGGATGTCGCGCGTCTCGGGGTCGGTGCTGAGGATGACTCCGCAATCCAGGAGTTGCGCCGCCGAGAGAAGGTTGAAGCGCATGTTCTGCACGATCAACACGTCGTTAAGTGTGATGTGCGTTTGGCTCCCTCGTGCCTTGAGCACCACGATGCCTTGCGCGCTTGCGCGCAGCCGTGTGTTGTTCGCCACAGTGACATAAGTGACGACGGGGGTGGAGACGGCGTTGGATATGTAACGCTCGGAGCCCACCATATGCTGCCCACAGCAGCTGTCCAGGTACCACTTGTTGTAGCGCCTGTTGTCGTTTCGCGCGAGGAGCGCCAGTCGCGGAGTGACGATGTGCAGAGTGTCGACCTTCAGAAATTGTTCGCGCGCGATCCAATCGATCGGTGCCGGCCGCATATCAGGTACGTGCGGAGGGCTCTCAAGCAGCGGGACTGGCAAATTCCAGTCCTGGTTGTCGTCGTCGCTGTAGTCGTGACGCGTGCTGAACGGATTGTTGTTCGAGGACGCTTCGATTGGGTTGGGCGCCGGCTCAGGTGAGAGTGAGCGTGCGCGCGGGCGACGAGAACCGCTCGTCATGGTCATGTTCCCCATGACGTTACGGACGGGGGCGGCCTGTGATGGCTGCTGCTGCTGCTGAACGGTTGAGTTCAGGTTGCGCGATGGGGGCTGGTACCCCGGGGCGGGACGCGTATCATTCCTCACGTCTTGTCGGCCTGACCAGTTGGTCGGATTGGTCTGGCGAGGGCGAGATCGATGCTTGCAACAATCCGCCAAGTGCCCGAAATTTCTGCAGATCTTGCAGTAGAGGCGCCGCGGCCGTCGCTCTTCTGTGTTGTCGGCGAAGAATGCGAGGCGCTCCCTATCTCGTCGCGGCGCTGGTCGCTGCTGGTCCATATCCCTTTGTTCGACGAGAAGGGCGGCGCAAAGAGCGGCCTCCGAGATGACCCCCTGCTGTCGAAGAAGCGCCTTGCAGGGCCGCCACTCTGGGCCTAGCCCTTGGAGCACGATGTTGACGAAGATTTCTTCAGAAATCGTGCTCCCCAATTTCGCGATTTGATCGCGTAAGCTTCGACAGCGATTCAGGTAGCTGTTGGCCTTCTCTCCCGGTGCCATCTTTGTCTCCAGTAGCTGCTGGAGCAGGCGGCTCGACGACACTGAGTCCTTGGGTTGGTATACACCATTCAGGTGGCGCCAGGCGTTGAGGGCGGGAGCCGGGGAGGTTTTGTATGAGCGAATGCTCAATTGCTCTGTCGGCGACATGTTCCGCAGAAGAACCCCGTACGCCATCAGAGACTCGTTGTAGTACTTGATTTTTGCGTCGTCAGTGTCCTCCGTAGGTCCCGAGTAGCTCCCGTCGAAGTAATGATAAATCTGCGCGTTTTGCAGCAGCAGCTCCAGCTCGAAGCTCCAAGTATAGAAGTCTCTGCCGTCAAAGCACACACTTGTCTTTATTTTTGATATGCTCAAAAACCTTGATTGCGCAGAGAGAATTGCTTCATCGCTGGGACAGGGAGTCTTGGGTGTTGAGCCATTTGTGTCAAGAGAGAAGCCTTGCGGGGCGGAGTTCTGGCCGTTTGACGCCGGTTGAGTGGGTTGGGAGGAAGTTCCCGCGTCGCCATTCCGCAATGTCTGGAGTCCTTGCTCCAGGCTCGTGAGTCGCTGAAGCAGTTGTGCGAGGACGGCGGAGGGGATCGTCGTCGTTTCCTCGCTTGTCGCAGCCGGGTTGGGCTGCGCTTCAGCCGTCAGATTCGTCTGACCTCCAGATCCTCCGGCCATTCTTACACGTGATCGTGTGCCGGACGCCACTTTCCGAATGTCGCAGATTTCGGAGATGGCGGTGCGAAGGATTCCTGAGTCGCTCTCATACCATGTTGCGATCAGAAGTTGATCGTAGCAGGATCACCTCAGGAAGGTTCGCACACTTCTAATCTAGCGGTGGTGGGCCCTTGACCTCAATAGCAGAGTGAATGTAAATGCTTGAGATGATAAAAACATTCAGTACAAGGAATATAAATAAGAGTACAGGGGAATACGAAACGACCTAGCTAGCCATGTACTCTAAGGGGTACATTCCCTTATTACAGCGAAATCCAACCGTGCGACTCCGGGTGGTTACGGAACTGTTCGGGCAGAATCCTCGCCACTACTGCTGCCTGATGCTGTCTGCCCGACGGTCCAGATGCTCCTCGTAACCGTCTGTCCCTTCGCATTACTTCCGCCTTTCCGTCTTCACTTCTCGATACTGCGTGCTTCGGCTTTGCTACGGTGAGGAGTGATCAATAGTGTTTTCACTAACCACTATTCGTAACACATTTATGTTCGAACGCCTTTTCGAAACTCTTACCATGCAAAATTTCAGAAACTATAAGCAAACAATACATACGACTTGATTGATACAGTAAATAAAATTTGTGCAGAGTGTACATTGAGTCAAATTAAGTCATCTTAACTCATCATGGTCATCGTCTGATGGCCAGTGATACGAGTCATCCCCCTCCTCATCCATGGCATCGTAAAACACATCCCAGTGCGCCAACATCTCCTCCAACGACAATCTCTTATCTTTGTTGTCATCCGCCTGCCATCACATGCCGCATTCACACCACCACCACCACCACATTATCCAAGTTAGGCACCGCAGCAATCCAGTTATCCAAGCCAGAGAGACATGCCATGTGGCGCCTACATGTGCTCACCTCCATCATCATGTGCCCACCTCCATCATCATGTGCTCACCTCCATCATCATGTGCCCACCTCCATCATCATGTGCTCACCTCCATCATCATGTGCCCACCTCCATCATCATGTGCTCACCTCCATCATCATGTGCCCACCTCCATCATCATTTGCTCACCTCCATCATCATGTGCTCACCTCCATCATCATGTGCTCACCTCCATCATCATGTGCCCACCTCCATCATCATGTGCTCACCTCCATCATCATGTGCCCACCTCCATCATCATGTGCTCACCTCCATCATCATGTGCCCACCTCCATCATCATGTGCTCACCTCCATCATCATGTGCCCACCTCCATCATCATTTGCTCACCTCCATCATCATGTGCTCACCTCCATCATCATGTGCTTGGCTTGCTCCTCGGCAAAGTGGTACTCGTTGGGCACGATGGCGTACAGCAGGTCCTCAAACTCACTCGCATCCAGGTACCTGGTGCATGCCCATTGCCCACCAACCCGTACAAGCACACCGACCGGCGCAAGCACATGTGAATCAAGAAATAAACATTTCAAGGAGCGTGATTATTTCTTTTCAGGATTGACATGCTGGAAATGCTGAACCACTCCCACACAGCAAGCAGCCGTGAACACACGCGTGTGAGAGAGCGAGACACGGTTGACTATAGACGCGATGCACGAGGCTGGCGTCACTGTCTGTCCAGCATGATCATCCACCACAACACACCACCCTGCCACTGCACCACGCACCCGTCATGATTGGCGTCCATTGGATCGAATCGCGTGCGTGCATGTGCCCGCTTCTCCGCTGCGCTCATGTGCTCCACGTCCTTGCTGCCATGAGCGATGTCGGGCGGCACGTAGTCGTCACTGGTGACGTCATAGCGGTGCGCCTCCCAGCGCGCATACTCCTCGTCAAACTGCGCCACCTCCTCAAACACGCTCTCCAGAAACTCCTCAAAACTCAGCCGCATGTCCCCGTCCGTGTCCCGCGCCCTGCAGCATGGCGAGCACACACACCGCGAGCACAGGCACAACTGGGAGTCTACAGAACAAAAACACGGCCTGCTTTCCACCAAGACTCACGACGAGCAAGATGCTCTGGGGGACCGAGGGAAGAGGGCATGGATGGCATGGATCACATGGACGGCATGGATCACATGGACGGCATGGATCACATGGACGGCATGGATCACATGGACGGCATGGATCACATGGATGGCATGGATCACATGGACGGCATGGATCACATGGACGGCATGGATCACATGGACGGCATGGATCACATGGATGGCATGGATCACATGGATGGCATGGATCACATGGATGGCATGGATCACATGGATGGCATGGATCACATGGATCGCATGGATCACATCACATGGATGGCATGGATCACATCACATGGATGGCATGGATCACATCACATGGATGGCATGGATCACATCACATGGATGGCATGGATCACATCACATGGATGGCATGGATCACATCACATGGATGGCATGGATCACATCACATGGATGGCATGGATCACATCACATGGATGGCATGGATCACATCACATGGATGGCATGGATCACATCACATGGATGGCATGGATCACATCACATGGATGGCATGGATCACATCACATGGATGGCATGGATCACATCACATGGATGGCATGGATCACATCACATGGATGGCATGGATCACATCACATGGATGGCATGGATCACATCACATGGATGGCATGGATCACATGGCACAGCATGGCATGGCACAACACAGCATGGCATGGCACAACACAGCATGGCATGGCACAACACAGCATGGCATGGCACAACACAGCATGGCATGGCACAACACAGCATGGCATGGCACAACACAGCATGGCATGGCATGGCATGACACGGCATGCACGGTATGGCACCGCACGGCACAGAACAGCATGGCAAAGGACTGTATGGCATGGGACAGCAGGGTACGGCATGGCAGGTCTGGAACGGCAGGCAGGCATGGCACAACAGGCATGGATGGCGTGGCAGGCATGACAGGCATGGCATGGCTGACCTGAGCTCCTCATCTCGGACGGAGTCTATCAGCTTCTCATTCTGGCTGTCCTCTGGGTGCAGCAGACTGCCACACGCACATGACAGTGGAGTGGGGTGGGGTGGGGGAGCGAGCTCATGGTGGCAGTCAGGACGGAAAGGGCAGACACAGATGCTGCGAGCATATGAAAAATATATTGAATGGCACGCACACGGCGACAGATTAATGCACAGCAAGGCATGGTGGCCACGTGGCAGGAGGGCGGCATGCGGCGACATCTCACTCGTTAAACTCGTCCTCGTTGAGCAGCCCGTCACCATCTGAATCCGCCAGTGCAAAGCGCTCCCTGGCCGTCTTCACAAACTCAGCCATGTCATCGTCACCCTCCACGTGGACTGTACCACACCATGCACCATGCCACACATGCACCATGCCACACATGCACCATGCCACACATGCACCATGCCACACATGCACCATGCCACACACGCACCATGCCACACATGCACCATGCCACACATGCACCATGCCACACATGCACCATGCCACACACGCACCATGCCACACATGCACCATGCCACACATGCACCATGCCACACATGCACCATGCCACACACGCACCATGCCACACACGCACCATGCCACACATGCACCATGCCACACACGCACCATGCCACACATGCACCATGCCACACACGCACCATGCCACACATGCACCATGCCACACATGCACCATGCCACACATGCACCATGCCACACATGCACCATGCCACACACGCACCATGCCACACACGCACCATGCCACACATGCACCATGCCACACACGCACCATGCCACACATGCACCATGCCACACATGCACCATGCCACACATGCACCATGCCACACATGCACCATGCCACACATGCACCATGCCACACATGCACCATGCCACACATGCACCATGCCACACATGCACCATGCCACACACGCACCATGCCACACACGCACCATGCCACACATGCACCATGCCACACACGCACCATGCCACACATGCACCATGCCACACATGCACCATGCCACACATGCACCATGCCACACATGCACCATGCCACACATGCACCATGCCACACATGCACCATGCCACACACACACCATGTCACACACGCACCATGCCACACACGCACCATGCCACACACACACCATGCCACACACACACCATGCCACACACAGACGCACCATGCCACACACGCACCATGCCACACACGCACCATGCCACACACGCACCATGCCACACACGCACCATGCCACACACACACCATGCCACACACGCACCATGCCACACACACACCATGCCACACACACACCATGCCACACACAGACGCACCATGCCACACACGCACCATGCCACACACGCACCATGCCACACACGCACCATGCCACACACGCACCATGCCACACACGCACCATGCCACACACGCACCATGCCACACACGCACCATGCCACACACACACCATGCCACACACACACCATGCCACACACACACATCATGCCACACACACACACCATGCCACACACACACACACCATGCCACACACACACACACACCATGCCACACACACACACATCATGCCACACACACACACACCATGCCACACACACACCATGCCACACACGCACCATGCCACACACGCACCATGCCACACACGCACCATGCCACACACGCACCATGCCACACACACACACCATGCCACACACACACACACCATGCCACACACACACACACACACCATGCCACACACACACACATCATGCCACACACACACACACCATGCCACACACACACCATGCCACACACGCACCATGCCACACACGCACCATGCCACACACGCACCATGCCACACACGCACCATGCCACACACACACACCATGCCACACACATACGCACCGTGCCACACACACTTGCACCATGCCACGTCATGCACCCACCACCAGGTTTATTTTCGAGGTTCGGGTTTAGGCTTTAGGGAGGTGCAAGTGAATTTATGCAGGGTGATGGTGGGGTGCAGGAGCAAGGAAGTTGTCCCCCCAAATGGAGCATCTTGATTGAGTTTTCAAACACACAAGCCACTCACCCACTTTTTCCACGTCATCATCCTCATTACCTCACCTCACCTCACCTCATCCTGCATGACACACTTGCTGCGTTTCAAGTATTAACCCCCTCCCGTGCCCACCTTCCTCCCCCAGCGTGTTGTCGTGCAGGTACTCTTTGAGTGACACCCTGCCATCCCCATTGCTGTCCACCATCTCTGTTGAGTCGACCCAGAACACACATTTTAACCCCCTCCCTTCCAGTGCCCACCTTCCTCCCCCGGCGAGTCATCATGCAGGTACTCTTTAAGCGACACCTTGCCGTCCCCATCGCTGTCCACCACCTGCATCTCCCTCCGCGTGCGCCGCTCACTGCTCCGGTGCCCCTGCTGCACCTGGGGGCTCCCATGGGAGGGGGTGGGGGAGGTGCAGGACAGAGTGGAGTCCGGTGGGCACGAGAGGTGTTGAGGGAGACAGGACGGATGCAGGGAGGGACATGAGGAGGTGCCGAGCAAGAGGGGGGAGGAGGATGGTGTGGCCTCACAGAGCATGTCATGTCAACACAACAAGGCGACCAGCATGGCACTGATGTGAGTGCAGCGCATGATGGCATACCTGTCACATGGCGACTGACATACCTGCCACATGGCGTACCTGCCACATGGCGTACCTGCCACATGGCGTACCTGCCACATGGCGTACCTGCCACATGGCGAGTTCACTGAGCGACACGAGCCCGTCCCTGTCGTCACTGTCAATGAGCGGGAACAGCACCCTCAGGCGGGCAGTCACATTCACCTTGTGCTCCCCCGCCTCTGCCCCTCCACGCACGCACGACACAGGCAAACCCAGAGGCACGGGCAAGTGTATGGGTACGGGCACAGGAGAAGCAGAAACAAGGCAAAGGTTACAGTGGGACGGCACAGGTTGTCATGGAATGGAACACATGCACCGAGCGACATGGCGTCTCACACCACGCATGTCCGCACACTACACGGCGCACATTGGAACATTGAAACTGTGCCAACACCAACTACTTCCTCTGCTGTGCCACCGCTCTTCACCGCGTGCACTCAGGTGTGTCACTGCAGCCACCCCCCGCCCTGCCACACTGTGCTCGTGCGCGCCCTGCCCGCCCACGTGCCCACCTGGGTTGGGGTTGGGGTTGTCCTCCAGTCGCCTCAACTCCTCATCCGCCGCTTCTATCCTCGACGCCTCTTCCACACTTCTCCGCCCGCCACCCGCGTCACCCTCTTCAAGCTTCTTAGCGCCGTGCGCCACGCGGACCTCCTCCCCGCGCCGGCGGAACTGCGCCTCCTCCCACTTGCGGTCGTCGCGCTGCGCCTCCATCTCCGCCACGAGCGGGTCGAACGTGATGTGCTCCAGCCGCGGGTTCGCCTCCGCCGTCGCCGCGTGCAGCCGTACCGTCTTCCGCCCGGGATTGCCCCGCCGAGTCTCCAGGCGCCGGCGGTAGCTGGAGTGACGGCTGTGGCGGTGGGGAGACGGGGCGCTGGAGGGTGCATCTGGAAGGCGGGATTGGTCGAGGCGCGTGCGGAGGGTGGAAAGGAAGGCGAGGAGCGCCACGGCTGCCAGCACCAAGAGCAGCACGGAGTGCGGGGCCCAGCGGGCCATGCCGGCGATGGTAGCAAGGAGAAAAGTTGCGCAAAGGGCCAGGTACGTATGCGGGGCAGCTGAGAGGAACGAAGGATGCTCCAATTGACAATGTTACGAGTGACGCGACGCGGACCTCGCTGGTCCGTGATGAGCGGAGCGCTGGGTGATGGCAGTGGGCCTGACGTGCTCGCAGCGAGAGCACAGCGCAGCGTGCTCTGGTGCAGGGAGCCAAGAACGGTGTAACGAGATTAGGGCTGGTCCAACTTCGTTCACTGCTGGGTTTTCCGTAACTGCGTCATTCGGCTCGTCAACTTTGACTGAACCTGAGGGTGTAGTTATGACAGTTCATGTTCATGGTTTAGGGTCATTGGGGAAAGGGAAGTGAGGGCGACGCGAAATTGAAGTGAGGCGAAGGGAAGTTGTAGCTAGGTCGGACGGCGCGGGCGATGGTAGGTGAAGCAGGGGCAGCGGTAAAGGGGTGTGCATTTACCAGGGGAGGAAATGCGAGGTCGACGTACAATGTCGTTATGTACTCTCGGACTATTATTCCGCATTAATCAATTTCTCCGCGCTGCACAATCGCGTTCCTCGCATGCGTTTCCACTCGTATGAGCAAGGCATTCACTTCATAGTTCTTTGCTTGGCACGCACTTCCAGTTCTTTGCTTGGCACGCACTTCCAGTTCTTTGCTTTTTCTGTCGCGCGGGTTTCCATTCTGCTGGACTCTCCTCTCGGGTCTGACGACGTGTTCGGGAGAATAGGTGGGTGTCCTTTCACATGTTTCACGACAGGGTGCTTTGCTTACAGCGAAAACATCTTCTAAGAAAGCATCCGTATACAAAACAACCATTCAACAACTTAGCATTATCTACCATACCATCTTGGCCACTATCTACCATACCATCTTGGCCACGACAGTATATCTAGGACGTCCTCATGCAGCTGTTCAACCGAATGGTGCCTAGTTGTTGCCCAACGGGGCGGAAATATTGGTGGCCCGTAAATCAGGAAGGGGCTGTTCAGATTGGCACCCTTTTCCCTGAAGCCACCAAAAGGTGTTTAACTATGGTATTAGTACAGGGCACTTCTGTACAGGGACGTACGGAATACCCTCTAATTCTTTCCACAACATAGAAGTTCACCAGAGTCCACATGAGAACACCATACCCGACTCATCCTGCACAGGTTGCACTGGCCTCGGAGGCGATTCAGCGAGGCGGAAAGGGCTGTCTGTCTCGCCATCTCACCCATCATCAAAGGGTGGCAATGCATTGCCTTGCGGCGGTGAGTCACATGAGGGAGCAGGAGGAGTCGTCGCCGTCCACGGGGCGCATGGGCGTGGCGTGGCGGCAGTCGATGGCCTTGAGGCGCCTCACCACCTCACTCATGTCCGGCCGCTTGCCCGCCTCGCCGTGCCAGCAGCGCCTCATCAGCTCCGCCAGCTGTGGCGGGCAGCACGATGGGATGTCCGGCCGCAGGCCCTGGCACGTGCGACAGGAGCGGTGACACATGGGTGCATGGTGAGGTGACACATGGGTGCATGGTGAGGTGACACATGGGTGCATGGTGAGGTGACACATGGGTGCATGGTGAGGAGGGAAGGGCGGCTGGTTGTGAGAGAATGGGACTAGCAATGAAGGAGAAATATAGGAGCTTGTGGGGAAAGGAGCACGTGATGAAGCAGAGGGCATGCTGGTGAAGGTTGGAGCTTGTGGCGGCCCGCAGAGCCCAATCAGGTGACGCTATGAGGGACGGAAAGAGCATTGCCTGATGTGAAGCGCATACCTGGTTGACAGTGGAGGCACCTGGTTGACAGTGGAGGCACCTGGTTGACAGTGGAGGCACCTGGTTGACGGTGGAGGCACCTGGTTGACGGTGGAGGCACCTGGTTGACGGTGGAGGCACCTGGTTGACGGTGGAGGCACCTGGTTGACGGTGGAGGCACCTGGTTGACGGTGGAGGCACCTGGTTGACGGTGGAGGCACCTGGTTGACGGTGGAGGCACCTGGTTGACGGTGGAGGCACCTGGTTGACGGTGGAGGCACCTGGTTGACGGTGGAGGCACCTGGTTGACGGTGGAGGCACCTGGTTGACGGTGGAGGCACCTGGTTGACGGTGGAGGCACCTGGTTGACGGTGGAGGCACCTGGTTGACGGTGGAGGCACCTGGTTGACGGTGGAGGCACCTGGTTGACGGTGGAGGCGATCTCGGAGGGGTCAAGGTCGGAGTAGGGGAAGGGGTTGTCGCAGCAGTAGATCTCCCACAGCAGGATGCCGTAGCTGTACACGTCCGCCTTGTGGTCGTAGGGGCGCTCCTTTAATACCTGGTGGCCGGCGGGGCAGGGAGGAGCAGGGGGGAGAGGCAGCGAGGTGCAGCAGAGCACAGCGACAAGGGGGGGGGGGGGGGAGAAGGGGAGAGGCAAGAATAGACAAAACGAGGAGGGATTCGATAAGCATGCAAGGGTGGCAAGCATTAAAACAGTGGCGATGAGCATGCCTCAGGCGCCAAGCACGCATGACCCAGGCGCCAAGCATGCATGCCTGAGGCGCCAAACATGCAAGTGTGGGTGTGGAGGTAGAGGATACTACCTCAGGCGCCATGTAGCCGTAGGTGCCGGTCTTGTGGTGCATGGTGCTGTTGTCTGACTTCACCCGTGATACCCCAAAGTCTGCTATCTTCACCACCCTGTGGTCGTGCATGCATGCACATCACGCACACATGCACGCATGCACACATGCAACCATGCACGCATGCACACATGCACACATGCCCGCAGGCACGCATGCACACATGTCCGCATGCACACATGCCCGCAGGCACGCATGCACACATGTCCGCATGCACACATGCCCGCATGTACACATGCATGCATGCACACATGCACACACACACGCATGCTCACAAACACGCATGCACACATGCCCTCATGCACGCATGCACACACACATGCCTGCTCACATGCCCTCATTCACGCATGAACACATGCACCCAACACACATGGATGCATGCACGAACACATGGATGCATGCTTACAGAGATGGATGCATGCACAAACACATCAGGCCTATTAGCTCAGCTGGTTAGAGCGTCGTGCTAATAACGCGAAGGTCACAGGTTCGAGACCTGTATGGGCCAGCACTTTTGACCACCCCTTTCTAAACACCTGGGGACACATTGCACTTCCACAATGAAGTACTACTTTCTATTTCTTCCAGGGAGTCCTCTTACATTTGCGGTTTATAACTCCTGCCCAGAGCGGTTCCATGCATGTGTGCAGCGCGGTGAGGAGAGGCGAGGTGGGACAACGCGGTTGTTTAGCGTGGCAGACTGGCACACGGCTCACATGCAGCAGGGCAAGCATGGTGTTATCCCATCCCACAGCCCGCACCCACCGGTGGTGTTTGTCAAGCAGCATGTTGTCTGACTTGACATCGCGATGCACGATGCCCCTCGAATGCAGATACTCCAACCTGTGCCGCCCGGCAGAGATTGCAGCGAGGGGGTGCAAGATGTGCAAGGGTGAGTGTGAGTGATGGGGGAATATCAGAGGCTACATGCAAAACGATGCAATGTAAGAAGAAGTGCATGCCGTGCCGCCTACCCACCTTGCCACCTACCCACCTTCCCACCTACCCACCTTGCCACCTACCCACCTTGCCACCTACCCACCTTGCCACCTACCCACCTTGCCACCTACCCACCTTGCCACCTACCCCCCTTGCCACCTACCCCCCTTGCCACCTACCCACCTTGCCACCTACCCACCTTGCCACCTACCCACCTTGCCACCTACCCACCTTGCCACCTACCCACCTTGCCACCTACCCACCTTGCCACCTACCCACCTTGCCACCTACCCACCTTGCCACCTACCCACCTTGCCACCTACCCACCTTGCCACCTACCCACCCCACCGTGCCACCTACCCCCCTTGCCACCCACCCACCTTGCCACCTACCCACCTTGCCACCTACCCACCTTGCCACCTACCCACCTTGCCACCCTACCATGCCGTCGCAATAAACAGCCATCATGCAAAATCGCCAATTATGATGCCTCACCCAGCACCGAGCCATACACCTCACCATGCCTCAACCCTCACCACCCCTCACCCCTCACCACCCCTCATCCCTCACCACCCCTCACCCCTCACCACCCCTCATCCCTCATCCCTCACCCCTCACCACCCCTCACCCCTCAGCAATATCCAGTGCCAGGTGCACGACGCGGTGCACGGACAGCTTCTTGTGGTAGTGCTTCATGAGCAGCTGCTTGAGTGTGCCGCCCGCCAGGAACTCCAGCACCACGCAGCACACGTGGCTGCCCACCCGCAGCACGCCCCTGTGGTCCTCCACCGTGGACGGGAAGGTGTACGAGTCTGGCCCGCCCAGCAGCGCTCCCACGAACTGCACGGGTTACACCACATGCACGCACGGTGAGGGTGCAGGGGAGCGATGGACGTGACAATAGAAAGGACGCAGCACAAGCGTGCGGAACCATGCCACTGCTGCTGACCTGGCAGATGTTCTTATGCTCCAGTGTGCTCCAAACGAGCACCTCCTGGGCGAACACGTCTCGCAGGAACGTGAGCTTGGCGCGCGATGCCTTGTCCACCTCGCCCCAATCCATCAGCTTCACTGCCCATGCCAATGCATCCCCCATGCGCACACACATATAAAAGTGCAGCAATCCATGCAGTCATGCATGTTCTCATCAAAATATACATGCAGAGAAACACAAAAAAAATACAATCGGTATGAGGATGAGGAACTGCACACTAGCTGTGCACACCACACACCATGCACTCAATCTGTGAGCGCGAGGTGCGGGCATGTGAGTGGGGGGGCACATGCTCTCTCGCCTCACCCACCATCTGCTCGCCCACCACCAACCGCCCATCTACCTGCAACGCACCGGCCACCTGTTTGCCGCGGTACTCCCCACGGTGCACGGAGCCATACGTGCCACGGGCGATGAAGCTCTTGATGACCAGCTGCTGCGGGTCGATGCGCCACTGCTGCCACTCCTCCTCCTCCTCCAAGCACCCCTCCAGCCACTCCGCCGCGCCCATGTTGCTGTTCGTGCTCACGTCGCGCCCCATGCCCCCCTCCCCGCCCGCCCACTCCTCCGCCTGCAGCTGCTGCAACCGCCCGCCCGCACGCAGGGGGGAGAGGGGGGCGTGCAGGGGCGCGTGCAGGGGCGCGTGCAGGGGCGCGAGCGGGGGGGCGTGCAGGGGGGCGGAATCCGTGAAGGCGTGGTGAGGCGCGTGGCCGTGCTGCGCGGGGAGTATGCCCGCCGCCCCACCGTGCTCCCTGTCCCCGTGGATCCCCTGCCCCTCGCCCCCCTGCCCCCTGCGGCTGAGCGCGTCCGCGGCGTGCTGTGCGCGGTGGTGGCGCTCCACGGAGCGCGCCACCTCCCTGCCCACGTCCAGGTATCCCACCACGCGCCGCTGCTGCTCCGCGCGCCGCACCATCTCCCGCAACCTCCCCCGCCTGCCGCCCTGCTGCCGCCCCGCCACCCCTTCACTCCCCTCCGCCTTTCCCACCCCTCCTTCCACCTCCCTGTTCTCCCCCTGTCCCCCTGCATTCTGCTCTTTGCCGCTGCTCTCGCCCTTCCTCTGCTCCTTTCCGCTTCCCTCCGCCTCCCCTCTCCCCGTCGCCTCCCCCTCGTCCGCCGCCGGCCCCCCCACACCTTCCGCCGCTTCCCGCGCCAGCGCGGCGCTCTGCATCCCCCCATTCCCCTCCGCCCCTCCGCCCCCCACCATCCCTTCCGCCGGGTTTCCGTCCGCTACAGTGCTCCCCGTCTCCGCCGCCTGCGCTTGCTCGTCGCGCGCACCGCGCGCCTCCACTGCGCCTCCGCTACCCCCGGTGAGTCCGCGTGGCGCAGTAGACGCGTCGGACTCTGCGGCGCTGCTTGTACTCTCTACAGCGGCGACACCGTCGGAAGCGTCTCTAAGCGAATCCGCGTGAGGCGGCGAGAGTTTCGCACCACCGCCGCCGTCAGGCGGCTCGGACGAGCGCGTCTCGCCCGTCACTCCTCCAAGAACTAAGGAGGGGCCATCGACGGCACCTAATGCTGCGCTGAGCATCGCGTTCGGGTGACCGTCCAATATGGCGCGTCGGATTTGGCTCTAGTAGGTGCTACTAGTAGTATCGCTGAAACGCACTTATCACGCCGTTTCGATTCGACCCACAGACAGCAATCCTCCTATCTGGCATGCAAATTGCAATGGATGCAGCAGGCGACTTTTGAGTCGACCCAAAAGTCACACACAGCAATCCCCATCACGCATGCAATGCAATGAATGCAGGCAGCATGTCGAGCCATTCGTGACTTGACTGCAAGTACAGATTTTTGTGCGTCGAATCCACCTTTCAGCTCTTGCGACTCGTTAGGATCACTGCATATTCCATGTATCGGAAAGGGGGTACACTATTGATTTATCAGCTTATCCACTCAATGAAACATTCATACCGATGTATGCTTGATAAATCAGGTCGTGCATTCATTCCCCTTTTAGCAAAATCAAAAAAACCCATGTTTTGTTTATATATATATCTAAAACGAAGACATTGACCTGGCGGTCCTGACAGCTTTTCTGCCTGACTTTTTTTTTTTTTTTTTTTTTCATTGGCAAGGCAAATGGCTTGGCTTTGTTGCGATCAGATGTTGATCGTTGCCAGGATCACCTTAGGAAGGTTCGCACACTACTGATTTAGTGGTGGTGGGCCTTTGACCTCAATAGCAGAGTGAATGTAAATGCTTGAGATGATTAAAACATGCAAGTACAACGAATATAAATAAGAGTACAGGGGAATTCGAATCGACCTAGCTAGCCATGTACTCTAAGGGGTACATTCCCTTATTACAGCGAAATCCAACTGTGCGACTCCGGGTGGTTACGAAACCGTTCGGGCAGAATCCTCGCCACTGCTGCTGCCTAATGCTGTCTACCCGACGGTCCAGATGCTTTCGTAACCGTGCAACCTTTTGTACTACTTCCGCCCTTTCGACTTCAACCTCGGTAGTGCGTGCTTCGCTTGCTGCGGTGAGGAGTGCACAGTGATGTTTAAACAATCACTATTCGCAACACCCCCCTTCTCTCCTGGCCGTAGCAGGTTTTGACCTGCTTGACTACTCCGCTGAGTTCGGAGCAGTGCTGGTACTGCTGACGTGGCAGTTTCTTCGTGAGGAAATCTGCTGCCATGTCACCCGTCGGGAAGTAGGTTAGATCAACCTTGCCCTTGTCAACTTCGTCCTTGACGAAGAAGTACCGCAACGTGATGTGCTTAATGCGGTTGACGAAACCAGGTTTGTTCGCGATTCTGATCGCGCTCTAGTTGTCGCAATGCAGGCGAAAGTTCGCCGAGGCCGGAATTTTCGCCTCTTGCAACAGCTCATGAAGGTCCCTTCGTGAACAGCTGCTGTTGCTGCGATGAATTCCGCTTCTGCTGATGACAAGGCAACCAGCTCCTGCTTCTGTGAATTCCAGGAGATGGGGCCGCTGGGCTCGAGGCGAAAGAGGAATCCTGTCCTGGACCATCGATTGTTGGGATCGACGGCATGATCAGCGTCCACGTAGCCGATGAGATTGAAGGATGCGGTTGGGATGGTGGAGTAGCAGAGCCCAACATTGGGCGTGGAGATGAAAAATTGGAGTCTCGCTGAAGATCTGAGAGATTCTCAGCCGTTGGTTTGCGTGAGTACTGAGCCAGCTGACTTGCGATGTACGAGAGATCTGGCCTGCAGATGACAGAGGCGAAGAGCAGGCATCCCAACTGCTGCTGGTAAGTCTGAAGCCCAGCTGGGGATAGGGCTTTGTTGTCGGGCTTATGGTTGGGTCCTGGAGTGCGGTAAGGGGTGGAGAGCGGTGCAGGTGCAATGTTGAAGCGCTTGCCGAGTTCCTCTGCGTACTTGGCTGCTGAGAGATGAATGGCTTCCGGCGAGTAGGTGATGTTGAGTCCGAGGAACTGCTTCACGTCGTGGTTGCAGGTGATGTCGACGCGCCCCGCGCGGTTTTTATCGAACTGCTCGAGTAACTCGGGGCTTGACCCTGTGTAGAGGAGATCGTCGATGTAAACCGTTAGCAGGATGTATTCGCCGCGGAAGTCACGGCGGTACATCCCTGGATCATGAGGTAGCTGCTTGAACTCAATTTCGAGCAGGATGTTGTGTAGGTACTGCTGCGAGAGCCTCGGCGCCTGTTTAATCCCGTAAAGGGATTTGCGTAGCTGACAGACACGTGGATCCCTGTCGCCGTATGTGTGCGGCTGCTCCACGTAGATCACAGTGTCCACTAATGCGTACAGGAACGCATTCTTCACGTCAATCTGTCGGAGCGGTAGGTGTCGTGCGGCAGCGATGGCGAGCAGGATCCTGACAGAGGTATGGTGGCTGACTGGTGCGAATGTCTGATCGAAGTCAATGCTGTGCCTCTGATCATAGCCGCGCACGACCCATCGCGCCTTGAATCTCTCGATCGTGCCGTCAGCTGCGGTCTTCACGCGGAAGACCCATTTGCCTGAGAGGATCCTCCTCCCTTTAACTGCTGCACGATCAACAAGTACCCAGGTGTCGCACGACTCGAGCGCTTTAATCTCCGCATCCATTGCTGCGCGCCATTCCTTGCTGTGTGGTCCTGTGAGAGCTTGGCGTGGATTCTTTGGTTCGATGACTCGTGGCGCCGTTGTGGTGGCAGTATGAAGTCGGAGAAGCTGAAGACCAGTGACGGTGCTGTCGTGGCGATGCTGCGTGATGACTTCTTGCACGTCGTCATCATCACTCTCTGGTTCAGGCGGGGCTGGTGGTGCTGCGCCTCCGCCGCTTCCGCTTCCTCTTGTTGCGCCTCCTGCTGCACCCGCTCCTCCTTCTGAATCATCGTCGTTGTCGTCGTCGTGAGGATCGCCTCTCGTGAACTCCCCTCTGGGATCTTGCTCCAGGATAGCCGCGGCAGCTTCGTCTTCTGGCGTGGCGTAGCTGTGCCCGTCATTGGCGTAAACGCAATTCGCATTCGTCTGCTCATCTTCACGAAACTGCTGGAGGAAGAGGCGCTCGTAGAAGATGACGTCGCGCGCGTTCTTAACTTTCTGGCTCAGGAGGTCCAGAATGATCCACGCCTTGTACTCGTGGCTGATGCCGAGGTGGATCCCCCAGCGCGCGCGACTCTTGAACTTATCGATGGTTGATGTTGGTGGGCGATACTGAACCATGCACCCCCACACGCGAAGCATGGAGGTGTCGCCCTTGGTCCCCGTCCACTTCACACGCGGGGAGAGGTTGTCGGTGATTGCGGTAGTTGACAGCAGGTTGTGCACCCGCACGGCATGGTGCATCGCGTAGGTCCAGTAGATCGGCGGAAGCTTCGACTGCTTCATCAGCGCGCGCACCTTCGTCATGAGCGTGCGGTTGGTACGCTCGGCTACGCCCTGCTGCTGATGCGCGTAGGAAAGAGAGATGTGGTGTTCGATCCCCTTTTGCGCGAGATAATCTTGCAGTTCCTTGCTCCTGAACTCTTCTGCGCCGTCGGATTGCCAGATCTTCAATTTCTCCCCAGATTGCTGCTGCGCGTGCAATAGCCACAGGCGGAACGCTTCGTATGCTCTGCTGCGCGCCTCCACGTTTACGACCCAAACGTAGCGCGTTCCGGCGTCGATGAAGGTGAGCGTGTATAACTCATCGTCGATGACGCAGTGTCCCACGTTGAGGAAGTCGCTGTAGACTTTCTCCAGTTTGGCGTAGCGATTGGTGCCTTGGTAGAGCAGGGGGGACGGTCGGTGACTCAGCGCGGCTTCGGGGCAGACGATGCAGTTGCGCGGATGTGTTTCGCCTCGTACTTCGGTGCCATCAGGGCGCAGGAGTGCCCCAGGCGCGAACACGCCGACCTCGATGCAGTTTTTCAGAGTTACGCGTGAGGGGTGACCTAGACGCTGGTGCCAGATGGCGTCATCAGCGCGGAATCCGGAGGTGCGCATGTAGCGCGCGAGTGCTTCTGCGGGATCCTCTTCAGGTGCTTGAGCAGGTGCCGCCGCAGCTTCCTCATCTTCTTCGCCTTCTTCGTTCGAAGTCGTCAGCATCAGGGCGAGAAATTCCCTGTCGCGAATGATGGAGTAGGGGATGTTGGTCCCAGGGATCGTGCCGAGGACGAATGTCGGTTCGCGCGGCTCAAGGTCAGGTCCGTAGACAGTGCGACGCGGAGTGGATGGTTCGTTGCCCCAATCAATGGTGTCCCAGGGGTCGCGCTCCGGTTGCATATCAGGTGGAGGTAAGGCAGGTGTAGAGCGGCGCGGTGGGTGACCGAGAGGGACAATCGCAAAATACAGCTGCTTCTTCAGCTTCCTCTTCCCCCCTTTGTTCCTCGCGGGAGGCTCCCCAGCCTTCGCCAGAAGTGCCCCAACCGCCTGTCTTGCCACCAGATACGGCGCCCCATCCTCCGGTGGTGTCGTTGTTTGCTGCGCCCCATCCACCAGTGTTGCCGCCGGTTGCGGCGCCCCAACCGCCAGTGTCGCTTGTTCCCCATCCACTGGTGCTTCTCCACCCCCCTTCATTGGAGGCGCTCTCCTCCTCATTCTCCCAGGCGAGCGTTCCGCGCGCCTCGGCGAGGCTTTTCTGTCGAAGCTCCTCAGCTTCGCGTCGCGCCAACGCCTCTTCCTGTGCCACCGAGAGCTTCTTCTTCGAGTTGCGCCGGTGAGAGTATATCTCAGCCACCTTTTCCTTGGTGTAGGGTCGCGGTGTGCCATGCGAGTCGAAGGTGCCAACGCCAACGCCGCGAAGCATCCCTTGGAGGTGTTGGGATGCGGGTCCGGGGAGTGGGTGTTCCGGCGTGCCGAAGACGACGCGGGTAGCGATTTCCAGCTCCAGGTTGGACAATCCTTCCTCAGGCGGTGCATCATGTTCTGCTTCAATGATGGTGGCAAGGCTGCGGCCGGCAATCGAGCTCGTCGAGGATGTGGGCGTGTGGAAGTCCCTGCAGACACCGTCTGGATCAAGGTCGTGTAGCGCTAGCTCGCGCGGGTGTGGGTGATGCGGCACCCATGGGCGCCCATCAGGGTGCTTCCAATCCCGGCGATGAATGTGCTCGAAGCGCAGGGG